CCAGAAAGCTGAAACAAACCTAGAATCTCTTTTTGACACTATGGTCTTGGGCACTCCGTGCAACCTAACTATCTCTTTAATGTAAATTTAGGCCAGCTGATCCGTAGTGGTACTCTCCTTTACTAGAAGAAAATATGCTGACTTGGTTAACCTATCCATGATCACCCATATAGCATTATACCCTCTCTATACTCTGGGGAGACCTGTGATAAAATCCATCGAAATGCTCTCCCATTTCCACTCAGGAATACTTAGTGGCTGAAGCAACCCTGACGGCCGTTGATGTTCTACTTTCACCTGCTAACAAATCAGACACTTAGCTACAAATTTTGCAATATCTTTCTTCATACCTGGCCACCAATAGCCTTTCTTTACATCTTGATACATTTTGGTTACTCTAAGATGAGCAGTGTACGGTGTGTCATGAGCCTCTATAAGTAGTCTCTTCCTCAACTCATCATTCTAAGGGATACACAACCGATTCCTGAAATAGAGAACACCATCTATTAAGTGGAACTCCGTTACCTTGCCCTCATGTACTTGCTGAACAATTCTCTAACACCACTCATCAGCCACTTGCTTATCTCTGACTTCCTCCAGTAAAGTAGACTGAACCTCTAACCTGACAATCCTTCCCGGAATTACTTCAATCTATTCTCTACATAATTCTTCTACCAACTCTTTCTTCTTAGTGAGCCGGGACAAATAAGTTTTTCTACTCAAGGCATCGACTACCACGTTGGCCTTCCCCAGTTGGTACTTGATCTCATACTCATAATCCTTAACCAGCTCTAACCACCTTTTCTGTCTCATATTCAACTCCTTCTGAGTGAAGAAATACTTTAAACTCTTATGATCAGTGTAGATATTACTTTTGGCACTATAAAGGTAATGCATCCAAATCTTTAGTGCAAAGACCACGACTGCCAACTCTAAATCATGCGTAGGGTATCTCGTCTCTTACTCTTTCAATTGCCGAGAGGCATAAGCTATCACCTTACCTAATTGCATTAACACAGCACCAAGTCTTTGCAGTGAGGCATCTGTATAAATGTCATAATCTACACCCTCCTGTGGTAACACTAACATGGGAGCTATTGTTAATCTCTTCTTCAACTCTTGAAAGCTCTCCTCACAAGCTTCTGACCATGCAAAAGGAGTTCTCTGTTTGGTAAGAGCTGTCAGCAGTTTAGCCAACTAGGCGAACCCTGCTACAAATCGCTGGTAGTAACCTGCTAGGCCTAAGAAACTCCGGACTTCTTTCATCGTCCTCGGCCTCTACCATTCAAGGATTGCCTGCACCTTACTCGGATCCACTAAAATCCCTTCCTTAGACACAGTATGGCCCAGAAATATCACCTGATCCAACCAAAACTCACACTTAGAAAATTTAGCATACAACTTCTTTTCTCTCAATCGTTGCAACACTATCCTTAAATGTTCCTCATGCTCTTCCCTTGACTTAGAATAAACCAGGATATCATCAATGAAAACCACTATAAACTGATCCAAATACTCATGGAATACCCAATTCATCAAGTCCATAAAAACTGCTGGGGCATTTGTCAAACCAAACGGCATCACTACAAACTCATAATGCCCATACCTTGTACGGAAGGCAGTCTTAGCTATATCTTGCTCGGCCACTCTTACCTGATGGTACCCTGACCTCAAATCAATTTTAGAGAATATTGCAGCGCCTTTCAACTGATCGAACAAATCATCAATGCGAGGTAGCGGGTACTTATTCTTCACTGTCACTTTATTCAACTCTCTATAATCGATACACATCCGTAGTGACCCATCTTTCTTCTTCACAAACAAAATTGGAGCTCCCCAGGGAGAATGACTCGGTCGGATAAAGCCTTTATTCAAAAGCTCTTGAAGTTGCTTCTTTAATTCCTAAAGCTCTGCTGGGGCCATTCGATAAGGGGCTTTAGATATTGGTGCTATCCCTGGTGCTAATTCAATACTAAACTCAACCTCCCTGTCTGGAGGCAAACCCGGTAACTCTTCCGGAAACACATCTAGAAAATCTCGAACTACTGGCACCCTCTGAATCTTTGGCTGTGGAACATCACCACTCTACACTACATGGGCAATATATCCCGAACACCCCTTTCTCAACATCTTTCTAGCCTTCACACTACTAATCAACATGCTCAACTGATGACCCTCTCTAAAACTAAATTAATCTCCACTGTCGAGATTAAATCTTGCTTTCTTCTTCCGACAATCAATCTCTACTCCATAGTTCCCTAGGAAATCCATGCCCAATATCACATCAAAATCGGGCATATCAAAAACAATTAAATCAACTGATAAATCTCTACCCTGGATCACCACAGACTCTCCTACCAACATCTCTTGCGTCAGAACACTAACCCCATAGGGTAACTATATCTTAATGGGTTGAGTCACTCTAGTAGGTTTCAAACCTAACCTCTCAATCATCCCATACGATATAAGAGAATGAGTGGCTCCTGAATTAATTAAGGCATATAAAGGAATAGAATGGAATAGTAACTAACCTGTAACGGTTGATAGACTAGCCTCTGCTTCACCCTATACCACTGTAAACACTCTGGCATTTGTAGTACCTCCAGAACTTTGTGCGGGTGGTGGAAGAGGAGCTTTACAATCTCTCATCAAGTGCCCTGGCTGTCGGTACCTAAAACACACCCTCTGGTCCCTCAGACACTCTCCTGGGTGGTCCTCCTACATTTAGGGCAAAGAGGAAACCCTTTTATCCGGGGTCGCTTATTCTTCCACTCTCTTCTGTTCTGTCTGAACTGAAACTTCTTCTTTTGATTCTTCATTTCTTTGCCTTTTACACCCTCAAATTTCTCTCTCTACGGGGCGAAAGGTGGCTCACTTGGTCCTCCTGTCGAGGAACCTACTAGAGGAATTTTATTCTTGAAGATTTTTGCCCTTATTGCTTGCCTTAAGGCCTCACTATAAGTTCAAGGGGGATCATAACTTATCATTATATCCCAGGCTATCTCCGGCTACAACCCATGTACAAACTTGTCTCTTCTCAATACCGGAGTACTAACTATTCTGGGTGCAAATCTTGCAAGGGAGTTGAATTTCACTGAGTATTCCTTCACAGTACTAGACCCTTGCTGTAAGTTGATAAATTCTTGGACCTTCTCATGAACTTGGTCCTCTGTTCTATACTCAGCCTCAAACTCTTGCCTGAACTCTTCCCAAGTCATCGTTGCCACATCATGGGTTTCTTCCATTAATTCCCACCAAATTCGGGCATTGGCCCAAAACAAGAAACTCGCATATCGGATCTTCTCCTGGTCCGTCATGGGGAATAAACCTGTTGTATGCTCTATGGACCTAAACCATTCTTCCGCTATTACTGGGTCTATAGTACCCTTAAACTCTGAGGGTTGATGTTGACTGGGAAGACCATAAATCGGTTCAACTCTGTTCTGTACTGGGGGAGGTAACGATTGTCCTCTTTCGACATTAGTAGTTTGTGGTACCTGCACGGGGGTTACAACTCTCCCTTGGGTTTCTGCCATAACTTGCTATATAATCCCCCGAACTCTAGCTTCATCCAAGGGAGGGGGCGTAGTTTCTGGTAGGTTAGAAGATTCTCCCTCATTCATCACACCCTTACCACGTTTTCGGTTACTACGCCTCATCTACAAAACAATCACATTTAATCAATTTGAGAAACACTTATAGTAAGGAAAGAATTAACTCGCACAGTCGGTTATCGGACGTCGTGGCGATGAGAATAGTACACTATCCAATCCCAAAATCTCTACTCTAATACCAAAAATGTAATGACTGATTTATACTAGGATACTCATGGAAATATATCAAGTAGAATACATTTATATTAGCAAAAGTAAATGGGCCCAAAATTTTCTTTTATTACATATAAACATTCTTTATACAAAATAGAATATCATTTACAAAATGCCATTAAAACAGTGGACAGTGTAGCTATTGCTCCTCGCTTGCCGACGCTCAACCGACCGCGTTCTCTAGGGCTGTGCAAAAAAAACGATAACCGAACCGAACCCGAAGTTTTGGGTACTCAAAAATTCGGGAAAAATTCGGGTCGGTTTCCGGTAGTTTTTATAAGATACCCGAATTTTCGGTTCGGGTATCGGTTATTTAATTTTAGAAAACCGGGTACCCGGTTTTTATTTAAAAAAAAAAGAAAAGAAAAGAAAAAAAAAGAAAAAGACGTCAGACTAAACACTAAAGTCTAAAACCCAAAAAAAATCCCCAAATCTGAAAATTTCAGATGCCCTAAAACCCATCAGGCCGTCACTCTCCAGTCTCCACTGTGTAAACTTCCAGTCTCACTGTCTCAGTCTTCCACTCTTCATCAGTTCGTCTCTTCACTCTCTTCCAGTACTCAAGTCCTGTAGGACCTGCATACAGCCGCACACAATACTCAATCCTCGCACAGCCGCACTCAATACTCATCTCTCTTACTCTCAAATTCTCCAAGGTAAATATTTGCTGGATTTGTGGTAGAGTTAGAAGAATATTTTTTGGTACTTGAAGCTTAGGAAACTGTGTGTTGTTTTGCCAAAACTTTGAGCTATTATTTTAAAAGTATCAATTTCCCAAATTGGGAAGANCAGCTGCACACAAACTAGCCCCACGTTCTACTCTTTGCATTTTCCTTGGTATGACTTGTCGCATCATGGGTATTGTTGCCTACGGGTGTGCAAAAAAAAAACTATTAACCGAATCGAACTAATCCCAAATTTTTGGGTACGCAAAAATTCAGGTCAGTTTCGTATATTTATTATGCGATACCTGAATTTTCGGTTCGGGTACTGAAATTTATTTTAAGAGAACCAGGTACCTGGTACTTGATTTTATTAAAAAATAAAAAAATAAAAAAAACCTAGTTTTTTAGCTAATTTTTCTTTTTACTTTCAAAGAGCAAGAGGCAAAACAAAAGCCCCAAATATATTTGCCCTAAAATTTTAGCCCCCGTAAGTCTTGCACATCTCTCTCAAATTCTCCACTGCAAATCTCCAGTTGCACTTGATTTCTTCTTTAGACTTCAAATCTTCCTCTCACTTAGTCACCTTTGCCATCACGTCAGAGTCTTCTTTGCTTGGCTTCTTCATTTTGGAGATGTTCCTCTCACTTTTTTGGGATCACATCAGGCATCTTCTTCACTTCTTGGCTTCTTCATTCTTTAGTCTCTAATTCAAGGTTTGGTTTTATCTTTTATTGATCACTATTTTTAATTTCTTATGTTGTTTTAAGTTCTAATTTATGATGTAAATTGTAAAGATCTGAGTCAGTTTTTGTTTTATATATATATATATATATATATAACAAATGTACTAATAATTATCCAATTCTCTGCTATTACTTATGTAACAAACTGAAGCAGAAGATGAACCTAACTATATTGACATTTGACAACAGTTTGACAGTGTAAACTTTAAAGTGTAAACTATTGCTAGCTCAAAGTTACACATTATACAGGTTGAGTGTTTGACAGTAGTTGTTGATCTTTGGTTTTTGGGTAATTAAATAATGTTGATTGCTCTTTAATACTGTCGTAATCTGCCATTATAGGGGTGTTTTGTTCTGTTATGTTCCAAGTAAAGAGTTGAGTTGTTAAGACTATGTTTTATTTATGGATGAATGAGTAAAAAAGCACAAATTATGGATATTTTTTACACCTTTGTATGTATTGCAGATATCTTCCACTGGTGAAAATACTAGTACTACTTGTGGGGTTGGGCCGATTGGTAGCGACACTAATATGTCGATCCCAAGGACAGAAGGTCAAAGTCCTAATCCTACTCATGTGACTTCTATGCCTCCACGACCAACTACAGCTCCCAAACGGGTGAGTTCTACTACTAGGAAAAATGCTTCAGAAATGTGGGACCATTTTACTAAAAACCCTTGTGAGGATAAAGATAAATCAGACAGCTACATATAATTATTGTGGGTCTATTCTTGCTTGTCCAATCAAAAGTGGTCCCACTTCTCTGCGTAACCACTTAGCTAGTTGTAAAAAATACCATTTCAATGTGGTGGACAAGAAATAAAGAACCTTAGTCTTTCAATAGCACTCGGTTGAGCCCTCAAGTGGTGTTGCAGCTACTTCTGCCTCCACTTCATTTTTGACTTGGAAATTTGATCAAGATTTGATTAGGGATGTTGTAGCTAAAATGCAAATTACTGATAAGTTGCCCTTTAGGATAGTGGAGCATGAGGGGTTTCTTCGAATGATGAGTATTGCACAACCTAGGTTTCAAGTACCTAGTTGTACTATCTAACTAGGGTTTGTTTGAAAATTTATTATGATGGGAAACAAAAGTTGAAGAATTATTTTAGTAACTATTCTCATAGTATTTGTCTCACCACTGACACATGGACTTCTAGCCAAAACCTCAATTACATGTGTCTTACGGCTCACTTTATTGATGATGATTGGAAACTGAACAAAAGGATTTTAAACTTGTCCAATTACCAGTCATCAAGGTTTAACTATTGGCAAATCAATTGAGAAATGTTTAATTAATTGGGGTATTTCGAAGTTGTTCACTGTGACTATTGATAATGCAAGTTCTAACGATGTTGGAATAACTTGTCTTAAGCATCGGTTAGAACATTGGAATGGAAGTGTCTTGAATGGTAACTTTCTTCACATTAGATGTTCTGCACATGTATTAAGTCTAACTGTTAAAGAGAGGTTAAAAGAGCTAGATGACTCAATATTTAGAATTCGTTTTACAGTGAGGTCTTCTCCAACAAGATTACAAAGGTTTAAGGAGTGTGTAGAGCAAGAAAAATTGGAAACTAAAAGTCTTCTAGTTCTTAATGTAGAAACAAGATGAAACTCCACTTATTTGATGTTCGAAGTGGCTTTAAAATTTCAGAGAGCATTTGAGTTATTGGAAATCCAAGACCCTAAGTACAAAGATGAGCTTACTATTGGGGAAAGGTCAAGGGGTTTGCCTACATCTACTGATTGAGATTATTTTCGATACTTGTTGCCTTTTCTGAAGGTTTTTTCTGATACAACTCTACGTGTGTCTGGCTCTCTTTATGTTACCTCTAATGGAAACATGGAAGTGATATATGGCATTGGGTTGAAGATTAATACATAGTGTAATAGTAATAATCCTGACTTACGTTTAATGGCAGCTAAGATGAAGGCAAAACATGATAAATATTGGGCAAATCTTGATAATATCAACTTAATGATATTCATTGCAGTGGTATTGGATCCAAGGCATAAGTTAGAATATGCATATTGGGCTATTGATAATGCGTATGATGTTGTTGATGCTAAGAGGTTGAAAAAAAAAGTGAATGACACTTTGTTCTCTTTATTTGAGGAATACAGTTTGCGTAAGGCTAGTCCTAGTGCGCAGTCAAGTGAGCAATCTCAAGTTGCAACAGGGATTGATGTTACTAATGCAAATGTTGATCCTGAAGTCTTTATGAAGGTTATGTTTAATCAGCAAAGGGCTGGACGACGTGCTTTGGAGCCCAAATTTGAGTTGGATGAATATTTACGGGAAAGCCTTGAAGATGAGAACAACAAGAACTTTGATATCTTGAGTTGGTGGAAGATGAATTCAGCTAGATATCAAATTCTCTCTTTGATGGCACGAGATGTTTTGGCTATGCCTGTTTCCACTATCGCATCTGAGTCATCTTTTAGTATAGGGGGTTGTGTATTAGATCTATTCTTACTCCTAAGACAGTGGAGGCTTTCATTTGTGCACAAGAATGGATTCGGGCTACGTGTGCACCATTTCTCTTTAAGGAGAGCTTGGAGGAATTATTGGAAATTGAGTCAAGTAAAACTTTTGCTTTAGTTTCATATATTTAATATTTAATTATAACTTATATCTTACTTATTGACTTCATTTTGTACCATTACTTATATTATGTTATTTCCGATCTTTATGTAGAATTTTTGTCTATGACATTGGAGAGTACTCGTAGTCATGGTCATCTACATGATTGATGATTCAGACCATCTCTATGAATTTTGTATTGGTGCAGCCCCTAGAAGGTAGAATATGCAATCTCATTGCCTTTTTCCATTTTCAAATGATGAATTAACCCTTTACTTTATTTGAATTGCCTATATTGATGAGTAAAGTTTGTTGGGTTGTGCTTATAATGATGAGTAAACTTTGAATTGCAGTGTTGATTTTGATGGTAGTGATGCTAATTTATGGTGGTAGTGATGCTGGAAGTTGGCTCTTTGCTGGTGTAATTCTGGGGCATTTTGCCATTTTCTACAAGTGTTTGTTACTGTAGTATTATGTTTGGTGGATTAAATGTAAAATACATTTTTCATTTCTTAATTATATTTTGCTGGTGTAATCCTACCATAAGAGATGGGTAATTATATTTTTTAATATCATATATAAAAATTTTAATCAAATCCTTAATTGTCAAAGAATCTATATCTATAGTTCTAATTTCTTGACTTTTTTTAATTTTTTTGGTCTCATTTATCTGCTCCACGAGAAAGAATTTATATATAATTTAATATAAACAAGGTTAAAGGGGCCATGATCATTTTACCTAACGCTCTTAATTTTCAAATATTTTATATCTGTATTTCCAATCTCTTATGCTCTTTGATCTGTCTCCAGTCTCATTTATCTCCTTCAAGAGAAAGAATAATATTTATTCAGTACATTTTTTTTTCCTAAAAGCATAGGATTGGAATTCAAAAAACTGAAGATGTGTACAGCCCAAGGATATATATATCTCCTCTAGATAAAAATTATTTATTGTACAGTATCCTTCTCTTGGTAAAATTACCATAAAACTTCTAAAAAATTGTAGTATGATCACGTTTAAGTGAATAAAACATTAAGTAAAACTGGAAATGATAGAAAATAAAATTATGAATTGTATTTGTTTGTAAAACATTTGATGATTGGTGTATATAAAATCTTAAGCATTTAAGTTATTAAATTAAAAGTTGATGTAGTACATGGAAGGAATTGTATCTGCAAATTGAAATGTAAAAAATTAAAATTCATGCAAAGTTATGCAAATTCAGGTACCCGAAAAACCGGGTACTTTAAAAAGAGGTTTGGAATGGTTTTTCGATCAAAACCGGTTCGGGTACCCGTTTTTGCATAGCCATATCGTTGCCTCCATATACCTTCTGGTCGTGTCTACATTTCTCGTCATTTGGTGTTTCATGAGATGACATTTCCTGGTTATGCTACTATTGCCACTTCATCAGTGCCTTCGTTAGACTTTCGAACCTTATCTGTTCCATCCAAGGCTATTCAGCTTGTTGATATTTTTAGTTATGGTCTTGATTCTCCCTCTACTTTGGCCGCTGAGACACCATCACCATTAGTAACTTCAAATCCCTCCAACGGTTCCTCACAGTCCACTCCTTGCTCGAGCACTGTTCCTCCGACTAGTACAGTGTCATCTTCCCTAGGCTTACAGTCTCAATTAAACTCCACTTGTCTGCCTCAGTCACTATCAATTGATTCACTATCAATTGATTCACTATCCCCATCCTTCAGGGAATCAACGACCTCTCGTCTGACTCATATGGTCTTTGTGTCTGACAATTTTGTGACCCCACCACTGCCTCTCCATCAAAGATACCACAACATCAATTCCATCATGGCTTCTTCCCCTCATGTGCTTCCACGCGCTCTTACTGCTGAGACTTTTGGTCCCGTGCTTCATGAACCTTCATTGTTCAAGCAGCCACAATCTATCTTGGCATCAGACAATGTGTGAAGAGTATGATGCTCTTATGAGGAATAATACTTGGTACTGGTTCCACGGACTCCTCAGTAGAATCTTATTGGTTGTCGCTGGGTGTACAAGGTTAAGCATAGATCTGATGGTTTTGTTGAACAAGACAAGGCTGGTATGGTTGCCAAGGGTTTTCATCAGTAGCTTGGTGTGGACTTCCGTGATACTTTCAGACATGTTATCAAGCCTATCACTATTCACACTATTCAGCCTGGTGTAGGTTAATTATATAATCCTAGAATATATTATAAGATTCTATAATATATATTTCATTATTATAATATATATTATATGATACTATAACAGATATTTCATTATTATGTGTATATTTATTTTACTAAGTTATGTGCTTAGGTTTTCCTATATATTGGGACGTTTTATTGTAACATTTTATCAATTCAATATAAACCTTTTCACTAATTTTCTCACAAGCAGTTCTTAATAAAAACTAATTACGTTTGATAATGGCAGGAAGGGTGTAAATGTGAAAGGTTACTTTGTGTGGTCATTGTTAGATAACTTTGAATGGTCTTCTGGTTATACTGTGAGGTTCCGAATCAACTTCGTAGACTATGAAGATGGGTACAAAAGATATCCAAAGTAGTCAGTTATTTGGCTCAAGCAGTTCTTGCAGAATCAGATAAGCTATAGCTATTACTTCATTTCAAATACGATATGTTCATCATATATTTGTGTTGAAAGTTCTCAAGCTTGAATATGATGTGGCTGGGAAATAAACCATGATCAAAAAGTTGAAATCATAATATATCAAATATGTCCATTCAAACCTATGTATCTCCTGATAGGGTTTGGGATATGATCTGTTTATATGAGAAACAAAGACCTCCAAGAACAAGAGATAGAGAGATTAATTGACAGAATTCTTCATTGATAACTACAATCTATATTTAGGTTATTATATAGCCTTACACTTAACTCCAAATGACTCCCAAAAAGACTCTAATTGCTTAATTCAAATCTAATAAGATATTCTATCATAATTATAAAAGGATAATAAGATAATCCTAAGTCCATCCTAATAAGATAATAGCACAATTATAAAAGACTTAACATAGTTATAAAAGATTTAACATAATTATCCTAGTTCTAAAATAATCCTAACATCTCCTCAAAAGTGAAGATTCTTGACCGAATATGAAAAAGAAATTAACAAAAATAAAGAATTTGGGAGAAAAACAGTTGAGCTAACTGAATGAATATATTGAATTTTTATTCACTTAATTAGAAACAGAGAACCCTTGCTTTTTTATATCAGGAAGATGATTATAAAAAGGCACCGTATTGAGCAAATATTCAACACATACAAAACACAACGTATTGGTTCTTACATTGAAACCCAACCTACTTCTATTCTTTACACTTTAACCCAAACTACTATACTCAGTTTTTGCCTAACATTTCTTTGCCTAATATTTCCCCTTACACAGAACATCTCTTGATCTTGGTCTTAACTCTTTCTAATATTTCCCCGTAAACAAAACTATCCTTAATGCCTTAATTTTTGCTGATTACAAGAACTCCTTTTGCTGAGTATCCATATCTCCTTCTTATTTACATTTCTTCACATATAGCAACTAACACACAACAATGCCATTCCTGTAGGCTTCCAATGAAATGAACACCATAGCAATACTTTCCACAGTAGCACACAACAATTGCATTTGCTACGAACTTATCTAGAGTACATCACCAATTGTTTTTATCAGTTACTTTTATACTCACAAAACAGCAGAGAAGCATACCATAACATTCCATAGCAGCTTCATTGTTAAGTTCCATTCCTACTTCTTATATTCACAACTCTTACAACACAACATATGAATAAGGCACACCATCTCCATTTTTGACAATCTTCGTTTTCTATAGATCATACTCAGAAAATAGCTATTTTTATACTCACAAAACAGCAGAGAAGCATACCATAGTAGCTTCATTTTACAAGTATCAGCAATATATAATGCATCAATTCATTTTCTTGACTCCAAAACATTAACACTATCATATCTGAACACCACTTCACAGTAGCTCATCTTAGAAGCATCAGCAACATATAATGTAACAACTCATTCTCATGACTACAAGAATTAACACAGCACCTGCATTCTCAAGTAACTGCTTAAGAAAAAAAAAAATATAATCAGATAAAGAGTCTGTAATAGTAAGTTTCTCCTTCAAGTAATTAAACTGATTCCTAGGTAAAGCTTTGGTTAGGATATCTGCCACTTAGTACTCAGAAGCCACATATTGCACACTTAGGCTTTTATTTGCAACTAAGTCTTTCACATAATGCATATCAATTTCAATGTGTTTTGTTCGAGCATGAAACACAGGGTTTGAAGGTAATACTCTAGCACTCATGTTGTCACACCACAGTACAGGACAACCATTCAAAATAAGACCAATTTCTTCAAATAGATTTATGATCCATACAAGTTATGTAGAAGCTTGGCTTAAAGATCTGTATTCTGCCTCAGTAGATGACAGAGAAACTACCTTTTGTATCTTTGAACTCCACTAAATTAGATTTCCTCCAATAAACACAACATAACCACTTGTAGATCTCCAATCATTAACATCACTAGCCTAGTCTGCATCCGCATAAGCTTCTAACATAAAATGTTCATTTTTAGTGAATAATAGCCATGATTCAGTGTTCTCTTTACATATCTAAGAACCCTTTTGCATGCTGTCCAATGATTGATAGTGAGCTACTGAAAGAACTGACTTAATTTGTTCACAGCAAAAGCAAGATCAGGTCTGGACAATGTCAGGTGTTGTAGCCCTCAAAAAATGCTTTTATATAATGAAGGTTGATCAAACTGATCACTGTCTTCTTTCCTCAGCCTAGTGCCAGTAGCCATAAGGGTAGCACAGGGTTTAGATTCATTCATACTAGCTCTTATCAAGAGATCTTGAGCATACTTACTTTGTGTGAGCAGTAACCCTTTGTCATTTCTCTTAACTTCAAACCCAAGAAAGTAGCTTACAAGGCCTAGGATTTTTAAAGCAAATTTGGTATTCAAATCTGCCACTATCTAATCAACTAATTGCGAGTTATTTCCAGTTACTAAAATGTCATGTACATACACTAGTAGATAGACTACACAAGACTCCTTTTTATAGAAAAAAACAAGCTGACATCAGAGATTGAATTCTGGAAACCCCAACTTAATAGGGCATGTTTCAGCTTCTCAAACCAAGCTCTTAGAGCTTGTTTGAGCCCATATAAGGCTTTGTGCAACTGACAAACCTGCCTTATTTGAGAAAAATCAGAGAAACCTTCTGGTTGCATCATAAAGACTTGTTTAGTCAATTCTCCATTGAGAAATGCATTATTCACATCTAATTGCTGCACTTCCCACTGATTATACATAGATAAGGATAAGATAACTATGATAGTTGCTACCTTAACTACTGGAGAAAAGTTCTCAAAATAGTCAAGACCAGGGGTTTGCTGAAACCTCTTGGCTACTAATCGAGCTTTATACTTAGAAAGAGAGCCA